TAGACCTAACTTGGGATTGGCGCAACCGTATTGTCACATATTTGGAGGATGACGAACTCCAAGATGATAAAAAAGAAGCCAAGAAACTTTAAATGCAAGCAGCTAGGTACACCATCATTCATAATGACCTATACAAGAGGACGTATGTCGACCCCCTAGTGAAATGCTTAGGCCCAAATCAGACGCGGCGCATCCCTGAAGAAGTCCATGAAGGCCATTGCGGAGCTCATTCCGACAATCGAGCTCTAGTCAGATGCCTCATAGGGGCAGGTTACTACTGACCCACCATGAAAAAAGAGGCTGCAAATTTCGTACAAAAATGCGAGCAATGCCAAAAATACGCCCCAATGATCCACCAAGCGGGCGAGCACCTCCACTCAGTCACTTTCCCTTGGCCGTTCATCAAGTGAGGAATGGACTTCGTTGGCCCCCTCCCCGCGGGGCGAGGTAACGTATAATTTCTTTTGGTTTTAATTGACTATTTTTCTAAATGGGTAGAAACAGGAGCATTCGCCCAAATACACGAATAGGAAGTGATCGCCTTTATATGGAAAAATATCGTATACCGCTTCGGCCTCCCCAAAGAGATCGATTGCGACAACGGACCCTAATTTACAGGAAAAAAGGTCGCTAAATTTTTTGAGAACTGGCATATCAAAATAATACTCTTGACACTGTATCACCCCGCGGGCAATGGAGGAGTGGAATCCTCCAACAAATCAATACTGAACATCATGAAGAAAAGCTAGAAGACGCCAAGGGACTGTGGCCGGTGTTACTGCCAAAAGTACTCAGGTCTACCGAACAACGCCAAAGACAAGTACAGGAGAGACGCCATACTCATTAGTCCATAGGACTGATGCGGTAATACCGGTCGAAGTCGGAGAGCGCAGTCTGAGATGCTCCGACGAGAGCGGGCCGAGGAATGACAAAAGAGAAAGCAAGAGCTCGACGAAGCCGAGGAACGAAGAGATATGGCTTACATAAGGATGATCTCCCAAAACCAACAGGCAGAACGTTATTACAACAAAAAGGCAAAGGTCAAACCACTCAAAGTCGGGGACTACGTGGTCAAAGCTAAAACACAAGCAAGCAAAGACTTTCGAGAAGGCAAACCAGGAACAAATTGGGATGGCCCATAGAAAATCATGGCAACAGCAAACAAAGGGTCATTCCAACTAGAAACGATGGAAGGAAAACTACTACTAAACAACTAGAATGTTACCCACCTCAAGTACTTCAATTTTAAAGAAAAAACGTTCTCCAAGTTGTACTCTTTTTTCCCTCACTTGAGTGTTGTCCCAGTTGGGTTTTCTCAAGGAGGTTTTTAACGAGGCGATAAGGGGGACACTTCGAGATGAAGTACGAACGGACGGAGGCACATGACGACTAGTTTATTGCTCAATCTCTCAACATACCTCTCCAGGTCGACCACTAAAGGGACTAGATATATTGGGATTGGAATGCCAACCCAGAAAATATGTAAATTTCTCCAAGTGTATGAACAAAGCTCAAATGCATGAAGTGCACACCAACACCAAATAGACTGGGACTGGAATGCCAGCCCGGAAAACATATAAGTTTCTCCAAGTGTATGAACAAAGCACAAATGCATGAAGTGCACCCATATTTTCGCCAAATCGACGTTGCCTCAATACCTATTCGGCCCTCAGCCATAATTAAGTATAGGTTACATTTGACTTCGCTCGAATTAACACCTATTCGGCCCTCAGCCATAATTAAGTATAGGTTACATTTGACTTCGCTCGAATTAACACCTATTCGGCCTTCGACCATAATTAAATAAAGGTGACATTTGACCTCGCTCTAATTAACACCTATTCGGCCCTCGGCCATAATTAAATAAAATTTACATTCGATCCTATTCGAATTAACTAAGTAAAGGTTATATTCAACCTCGTTCGAATTGACTAAGTAAAGATTACATTCGACCTCATTCGAATTTACAAAGGCTAGAAAATATGCTCACAAAAATATGTACACAAAGTCTACAAACAAAAAGAAGGAAAAACAACTAATCGCCGCCTAACCCAACAGCGCCATCCGCCTCTCCACCATCGCCATCGCCATCGCCATCGCGATATTCATCCTCATACCAGGCACCTTCTTCAATTCGATCCATGCCCGCATCCTCCTCGTCATCATCGACCTCTGGTGTAGTGGGGTCATAGCCACAAGCAACACGAGAAGTATGTGCCTTAGCACGAACGTCCTCTAAGTCGGCCTCAAAAACTTTCCCTGCCCCTATCAAATCTCTAAATATATCCAGTTGGGCCTCGACATGGATCCACTTCTCATACAGATCCCGCGGAACATCAGGAAAAGCAAAAGTATGAGAAGAAGACGGTTGAGCCAATAATTGGGCCTTGTAGACCTCGAGAGAAGCAACTCGATCATTAAGGCCTGAAGCCTCTTTTTCCAGCTCCCCTATCTGCTCATCAAGCCACTCCTCTCTGAGCCTGGCCGTCTCCAGATCACTCTCCCGCTCAGAATGAAGAATGCAGATTATGGCCTCCAAAGCCTCCGCTTCTTGAAGCCCCTAACCGAGCCAATTCCACCTTCTCCTACTCCGCTGCCTTCCTAGTGACCTCGCCACTCAGAGTGTCCACTTTAACTTGGCACTCCTCGAGCTCGGCGTGCAACGATACCACTTGGGCTTGAAGGTCGGCACATTAGACCTCGACCCCTTTGCTCACTTCGAGCTCCTCTTCTCTATCCCTTAACGCTTCCTTGAGGATGCTGCATTTTCCAATGACTCTTACCAACTCATCATCCTTCTCCTTAAGTTCATCTCGGAGAGCCTGGAAATTGCCGCTCTCACCAAACCGCCTGTAGATCTCGCGGTGCTTGTTATGTTACTCGCGATACTTTCGCTCCATCTTCTGAAAAATAGCATTGTGCCTCGCCTCTCGCTGGGAACTCTAAATCTCCAAAACTACAGTATAAAAAAAAAAGACGAAGAGAAAATAGAAAATGAGAACGAAGCAGAAAATGTTGAACTTGAAAAATGAAGGTCAAGAAGCTTACCATGAGTGCGAGTCCGGCTATACTCCTCGACAAGGTAGCATTGTCCAATTTCTCAAGGGTTTTACCCTCCACATCGGAGTAGAGGGGACCCAGGGAAGAGACTACGTTCTCCGTGTTCACTAGCAAGTCTCGATCCATGGGGATCGCAATGGTTTGGACCCCTCCAATCTTACCTTAACACGGGCAAACCCCTCCCTCATCATTCTCACCTCATCCGCATCGAGGTCGGAGCTTGTTTCATAACCATTATCGGTGACTCCCTTCTCTCTCTAATCGACTGACGAAATAGGATCATCGGCTGGTCGCGAGGACGAGGGCTCATCCCGTCGTGAAGCATCAAAATCTCTCATAGACGGCCCTCCAGCTCCAATCTCGGTATTATAAAAAGATACGCCCTCTACAGCCTCAGTTGAGGGCGGGTTCTCACATGGCAAATCGTCCTCATCAAGCACTACAGTCGCCGTTTCATGATCGCCCCTTACTGAATCTACGGCATGGACGGTCCCATCACTGACGTCCACGCGATGACTCCTCTTCCTCGTCTATTAGATGACGCAAGGGAGAAGTTGGAAGTGTCGCTGCAGATGCGGTCGACGACTGAGTGGACCTAGCCGCAGCAGAAGGGGGAATAGATGCAGTCGGCAACCGGGCAGGCTTGGCCACAGTCACGGCGGGAGCTGACTCCGAAGTGGTCTTCCTCTTACGAAATGTAAGGGAGGAGCCCTCAGTTTTTTCGAAGGACGAGCTAAAAAGAAGAGTTCACTTCCTGAATGCTATAACAAGAAAGAGACCACAAAGTCAAAACAGTTTTAAGTAAAATAGACGAACTCACTGGCCGCAGAAGAGGACAGACCGAATCTCTTGAGAAAGGCCGGCCACTCGCGGATCCGCACCATATAAGGCAGAACCTGGCTAACCCAGTCTTGAATATCCTCGACCAAAGGAGGAGGCTTAGTCTCGGCTGCATGAAGAAAGAATGAAATATCAAAACACGGCTAAAACCGGCAAAGCAAACGCTTGATAAAAAGGAGGAAGGAAGAGAAAAAGAGAGAAATACTTACGGGCATAATTCCACGCCTCAGGAAACCCATTCGCGTTGGCCACTATGTCCTCGATTTTGACGTAGAAGTAGTTGAGCCAAAACTGACAATTTGCCTTATCATCCATCTTTACCACCAAACACTTGGTCCCTCGGTAGCGAAGATGCAGCATCGTCCCCTATGGAAACAGCGGGCGAAGAGATGCATCAAATGATGAAGCGACACCCCGACCCCAGCTAATTTCGCATATTTCGTGAGCATGCGGATAAGCTTTTAGATATATGGAGAAAGTTGGGTCGGGCAAACGCCGTAATAACGGTAGAACTCCTTAGCCAATGGGAGAATGGGGGAAGGAGTAGCCGACATAGAAAGGGTACACATAGAAAGCACAATACGCAGGGCGATGTATTTGTATCACATTGCGTTCAGCTAGAATTAAATCGATGAGGGCATGAATTTTGAACTGCGCCCTAAACTCAGCAATTTCAGCCTCTTTCATCAATTTCAGCCTCTTTCTCATCTTCGACGGCAACAGGAACACTACATAATGGCGAGGCATACACACCGCCAAAGGAACAAGATCGCTTGCCCTCCTAGAACTAGAAGATACGTTAACCATTTTTGAATATATAGAAAGGATATAAGTGCAGAAAAGTCATGAGCAGACAGTATCAAAACAAATATTGTTTTGGAAAAACGATACAATACGATACAATGAGAAACAACCATCCAAACAAACGATTACTCCGTTCTCTGTGAGATTCGACTCCGGACTTTTAGACCGGATTATATTTGCAACGTCGTTTATCATTTTTAGGACTATAATTGAGCGTGATCACCTGTCTTTATTTTAAAATTATAAATCTCACATTTTAAGAAGGTTTACGTATAGATATACTTTGGACTTGATAGTATAAAATAATTTTTTTACTAATATTAATTACTACTATAACTTAAGCTCCGAGAATTTTTCTACTTGGAATTGTATATCCAACTTCAATTTTAACCTTTATTACAACAAGAGGGAAGCTAGCTTATAGTCATTGTGCCATCTGAGCTAACAAGATTAAACTGAACAGCAATAAACAATACAATAGAATGGGATTACTAATTAATTTAAGAGGAATAAACAAGTTGCGTGAACTTGCCGGTACTTTTTCCTCCTGAATTCACACAGTCAAACCCGCATCCACACTGGGGGGACTCATAGAAGTTATCAATGGGAAAATCAGCAGAAATAATCCCAACGGTGAAATCAAGCTCGTCTTCCACACGAGCGACTTCCCCAATGTTGACCCAGAAGAAAAGAAGCTTCACTTGAACGCCACTCAAGTTGCTGAGCTTATCCTCCGAAAGTGTTCCAGTTATTTTGGACTTGTACTGGAGGCTGTAGCTCTCGATTTCGAAGCTGCATGTCTTGTTGAAGTAGACGGCGAACTTGCCGGTGCTACTGTTAAATTCATAGCTAGTCACGCCCTTCGGGAGTATTCCCACCGGAAAGTCGTACTCCTCCAGAATTTCATATGCTGTTGGCAAATCGTCGCTGCCCACTGACGCTGAAGCTGCAGAGAAGAGGACCAAGAAGAAAATGCATAAGCGATGAACTGATGAAGACGACATATTAGATTAGCTATAAGCTCTCGATCGATATGATTATATGTGAAATAATTTACTTTGACAAAGAGGAGGATGTCGTTTAAGGATATGAGATAGTGGTAGTTGGAGAGTTATATTTGGGAGCAGAGGCTTTTGACCGTTCGGTTTTCTTTATGAGTTTCTGTACTCTCCTTTTAGGTTATTGTGGGGATACACCCGTTCGGTTTAATTTTATTTTCATACTATCAGTTAAATCATTGTTTAAGACAAACGAATTTGAGTATGAACTCAAGCTTTAAAGTACTAATTCTTCCCTGTTATTGTTTGACTCAAAAGATATTGGAACTTTTTTGAATAAATCAATCAAAGAAAGTGAAGGGGTAAATATTAGTCAAACATAATAAATTCCAAATCAATGAGCTAACAGAATAAATAGTATATAAGATGAAATAGATACAATAGATCTTATTGAAACTTTCGTTGTGTCTCCCATTAATCAATGGAGGAGGTTGTTCTACATATCCTTCTTTGGAGATTGCTAAATTGTTCCTTTTGTTTTTAGGAAGATTGTAGCAGAGGGAAGTAAGGAGAGAAGGAGAAGCTCCCCCCGATCCCCTTTAACCGAAGGTTTTCCCTTACTATATATAGGCATGGGACCTTTGCTATCTACTTGGTCCGATGCTCTTACATTATGTCTGTCTTGGTCGTCCTCTAAACATCGTTTCTTCTGGCTCGACGGGTATCGAGAATGCTTGATATGGAATAGGCCATGTCGTCTTTCACCGCCTTGCCGCCTGGACGGGACGTTGGTCGGCTTGATGGCAACAGTCAGATTTTGACCAATACAGTTAGTCCCTCCGTCTGTCGGGATCGTCCCCTGTCGGGCCAGACAGACGAATCATGATTGCTACGAATTCGAGAGAAATCTGACTGCTTGTTCCTTGGTTATGCTTTTTAGGTTTCAAGTGGGATGATGGCGTTCTTTCGATATCCTTGGACCGTTGCGGCTGTTTCGGAACCGAAACGTTGTTTGGCATTGAAGGGTTGTTTCGTGGCTGCCGCCATTATGACACGCGTTCCTGGGGAACTGAAACGTTTCGTGCCCGATCAGATTCGATTGGCGACTCTTGGGTTTCGTGCTTAGGGGATTTATGTCTCTTATAAATAGAAGGAACTCATCATTCGATTGACACACTTCTTTGCCTTTTGCTTGAAAGAATTCAGCAGATATACTTTCTTCCTGATACTCCGAGTTTCGTTTGTCCTCAGTTAACTAAAAACTTTCATCCTTTCTTTTCATTGTCTTTTTGCCGCATCATCTTGACAAAATGTCTAGTGATTCCTCTCGAACGATCTCCCTGTCACAATTCCGGCACCGGAAAATGTTACTCAGGCCACTGGAGGGGCAGAAGTGGTGGAAGACGAGAAGGTCACGTCGGTAGTTGAGATTTGCCTCATCTTGGGAGAGAATTGACCGACTTCAGCAGTCGCGCCGGGGCGGAGCCAGTACCTGTCCCTTCTGTTATGAGAGAAGAAGACATTGCAGAGTTGAAAGCTAGGTGGGGGATCCCCGGTTACGTTGACATGAGACCGACGATAGGGAATGACATAGTTCATTTTGACCGTCCTGGGTACTGCGTGTTTTACGCCTACCCCTTTCTTATTGGATACACACTTCCTCTCCCTCTCCTGGTGGTAGATTTCTGCCATTTTTATGAGGTATGCCCCACCCAACTTTCGTCGTACCTGTACAAGTTGTTCCTTATGTTGCTCAAGTTTGAAAGACTCGCCAGCCGTGAGATCACTTTGGATCACATGCTCAATATCTTCGCCCCTCAGCTTATCCGCAACACGATGCTTCACATGCGTTTTCGGGGGTCGAAGCGTCTGGTGGTGAAAATGGACAATAGGGCTAACCTTCGTTTCTACGAGAATTATTTCTATGTGCGGACCGAGCACATTGTAGCGGATCCAATGGGGTTCCTTGAGAAGTGGAACTTTGCACGTAAGTTTCTTATGTTTTTAGTCGGAGATATATCCGACCACTTTCTATTACAGTACTAAGCCCTGTTATGTTTCCGTAACCGAGAAATTGCCTCCTCCATCTGTCGAAGGTATCCGCAAGTGGGTGAGCGCCATCCTTCCCCATACGGAGGGGGTTCTCACATGGTCGGCCTTTTATGAAAAATTTGGACGCAGACCCCTTACAGGTGAGATGTCGTTTCTGTTTGCTATTTTTCCTCTCTTTTTACTTAGTTTCTCATGTGCTGTTTGTCGATGCCAGGGAGAGTGCAGAGAGTGAGGGCTCCTTCATTGGCTTTTCGTCAGCTGACCTCGTCTGCTTGCCCCATTGCAGCACCTTCGCTCGGCCTTCATCGAGGGCTGCTTTAGTCGAGTCGGCGGCTATGGTTATTCCTGCGGAGGCCACTTCTCAGACTGAGGTCCCGACTCCTGTTTCTCATCAGACGAGTGAATCTCCCCGCGCTGAGGAAGAAGAAGGGCCGTCTAAGAGGCGGCGAGTGGAATTCGAGGCAGCCCCTTCGACTGTAATTCACTTGGATGATTCTTCCTTGACAGAATCTAGGGCGGGGGTTGATACCGCTTCGCCCGTAGAGAAAGAGACATTCGTCATAACTGCCCCGTCGATGGAGATTCCTACTGCTGTTGTTGATCAGCAACCTGTCGTGATGGGGGGCCAGATTTTCGAAGTTGCCGTTGTTGTTTCGGACGTACCCTTATCCTCCGTATCTGGTCATGCTTCGTCCTCAATTGCTGAAAAATGAAAAGGAGTTGTGGTCGACGATTATGAATCTGAGTCAGACATCGATCCCGATGATGTTAGGATGTTTGAGGAGGGTATTACCCACTCGGTGGTTTGTGTAGGAGGGCCGACCCGTATTCTTGAGATTTCTTCAGATGTTAATCTCCCGGGGGACACGGAGGATCTGGTGCCACAGTTTGACATTTTATGTTCTGCTACCGAGAACGAGGCTCTCCGGAATGTTCCTGATGTCGATTTGATGAATGAGGTGGCCGCTTTGGGTTTGAGGGTACGTTGCACTTTCTTTTATACTTCTCCTATTTTTCTTGTTTATATGGCTTTAACCCATCTTCTCGTTTTTCAGACGTACATGGTGGAAGTGGAGAGTATGCGCAGGGCCGACATTCGGGCCAAGTTTTTCTTGAAGATGTTGGAAAAGTATCGATGCTATCGCAACAAGTGCCGTGAGATGCACGAACGACTGAGGGAGAATCCTGGTGCTCGATCCCTCGGCGAAGAATTGGAGAAGAGAGATCTGCAGTTGATGGAGGCCATTCGCAAGAATAGTGTGCTCGAAGAGCAACTTTGCATGAAGGATGAAGAGCTCGAGGTGGAAAGGGGGTGGCTGCAGAGTGTGACTATCTGCAGGGGAGGCTAAGGTCAATGCATGCCGAAATGGAAGAACCTTATCAAGGTCGAGACGACAAGTGCAGAGTGGATGGGAAAGATGGCCGAGTTGGAGAGGAAGGTCGACGGGCTGTAGAGTATCGAGAGTGCCTGATCTATGGCTTTAGCACAGGAGGCGGCCCTGGAGAACACTATCCGCGTCCTCCAGTCTGAGCAGGAGTTGTAGAGAGCGACGACAATGGTAATGGAGGCGAGGCTTGAGGAGCGCATTGGTGAGATCGATCGGAGAGCTTCGACCTTAGAAGATCGGGTCGCCGCTCTTGAGGCTGAAAAGGAATGACTGTTGGCTCAAATTGAGTCTTCCTCCGTCGATGTTCCCCGCCTTCTACACGAGCTTTGGGTTCTTGGTGAAGCTTAGCGGGATATATACAAGAGCCTGTGGGAGGCAGGTAATATTACTGAGGCCGCATATGAAGGACCACGAGCAAAGGAGCGAGAGACCCGTGTCAGCTGTGGTTATGACTCTGCGACTCCGGAGGCCGAAGAGGGCGTAGATGATGAGGGAAAGCTTCTTGGAGATGATGGTGGCGGTGATGACGCCGAGTGAAAAAATGCTGTCTTAGTCTGTTTTCTATTTTTTTTATATTCATCATCGATTGTCGTTGTTCCTTTCTCTTTTTTTTTATTATTGGATTGGGACATATGTAATCTGCGACCGTTAGCGCGGTGACCTTGTATAAAGAAGAATTTTTTCGTTGTTATCTACCCCGTAATTTATCTTTGTTTTCGCTTTTTGTGACTTTGGCGTAAGATGGATTCCCGTATGGCGAGTCCCGATCTTTTCTTCCCTTTTTGTTTGCTGACGGCCCTTGGCCTTAGATATATTTCGAACTTTTCCCTTTGGCGATGGCCCGCGGACTTGAGGGTGTGATTTCGAACTTCTGTCGAAATATCGACCCGTCGTTGTTTGATTAAGGTCGAATTACTTCTTTTTGGAGAAGGCACTTGGCCTTAAAGGGTGTTATTTCGAACTTATCGAAATAGTAACCCATCGTCGTTCGATCAAGGTCGAACTCTTCTTTTTGGCGAAGGCCCTTGGCCTTAAAGGGTGTTATTTCGAACTTATCGAAATAGTAATCCGTCATCGTTCGACCGAGGTTGAACTCTTCTGTTTGGCGAAGGCCATTGGCCTTAAAGGTGTTATTTCGAACTTATCGAAATAGTAACCCATCGTCGTTCGATCAAGGTCGAACTCTTCTTTTTGGCGAAGGCCCTTGGCCTTATAGGGTGTTATTTCGAACTTATCGAAATAGTAACCCGTCATCGTTCGATCGAGGTCGAACTCTTCTTTTTGGCGAAGTCCCTTGGCCTTAAAGGGTGTTATATCGAACTTATCGAAATAGTAACCCATCATCGTTCGATAGAGGTCGAACTCTTCTTTTGGCAAAGGCCCTTGGCCTTAAAGGGTATTATTTCGAACTTATCTAAATAGTAACCCATCGTCGTTCGATCGAGGTCGAACTCTTCTTTTTGGTGAAGGCCCTTGGCCTTAAAGGGTGTTATTTCGAACTTATCGAAATAATAACCCGCTGTTGTGCGATCGAGGTCGAACTCTTCTTTTTGGCGAAGGCCCTTGGCCTTAAAGGGTGTTATTTTGAACTTATCGAAATAGTAACCCGTTGTCGTTCGATCGAGGTCAAACTCTTTTTTTGGCGAAGGCCCTTGGCCTTAAAGGGTGTTACTTCGAACTTATCGAAATAGTAACCCGT